AGTCACGTGAACAGGTTTGCGATGGATTTTTCATAGGATGTGTCAGTGAGTCGACGGCTGGATGAAATCCAGAAAGGCACTGGCATTGGCCCTGGAAGGATTCTTCAGTGGACTGTCTTGAAGATCAGAAGCAAAACATCCCCACTCAACTGTTTCCATGTCCAAGATGGTCAATGGGAAAATCGCGTGAGTTCAAGCCGCATAGCTATCGCAATAGCAATTTAATGCGTGTGTTCTTCTCCCGTACACCCCATGACACATAGTGTGCAAATCTTTGCATGGTATATAACTGCTAGCTAACCTAAGCGGATGAAATTTGGCACACACATAGAAGGAAATGGAGAGAGAGTTACTGGCAGCAAAGCGCAATGGCACGATTGGAAAAGACATTTTCTTCAAATACCCTGTCTGAAGCGGTCGATGGGTGAGGCTACTCCAACTCATGGTAGACATTCAAAAGAGAGGAGCTGGTTCTTGATGGGGTGTATGAACACTACGGACTGCAAGGCATGCTCTGCTAAGTGTTCCCATACTGGCCACGAGGTTGTTTAAAGGCAAAAGTCGGGCTCAATAAGGGGGTATTATGGCGATTGAAACTGAGTATAGAGATGCGAAGTGGAACGACAGTGGAGAAAAAACTGAGAAAACCGTCGACAAGGCCGTTAACAAAACCCTCTTTCCCACTAGCAGTGAAGGAGGCTGGCTTGGGGAAAGAGGCACGTACAAACAAGTTTTCTGGAGATGTCAGTCGTTCTATCGGTTGATACGGCAATCAACCTAGCTGATTTCACACGTTATGCCAGCCACGCACCACTTCCGGAGGTGGGCGGTCCTGGATTGAAACCGAACGCCCCGGGGCCTTAACGGGGTTTTTCAAGGTGGGAAGTTGCTGCAATGTGTGCAGCTACCCACATACAACCTCCAGGCACGGGAATTACTTCTCTAGCGTGCCTGAGCCCGACCTTTGCCTTTAAGAGTTTTCGTGGAGAAGCGTTCCATTTCTCGAGCACCGCGATTGACAACTGCAGGACTATTGTTGGCACATGGTCATGTGCTACAATAGCTCATCTGAATCCACGCCACACGTGCTCCATAGAATTTGACTGGAGGAAACGGCAGGCTTCACCAATTACCGAAAATCCTCACTTTTCAAGAGTTTTCCACCCAGGCTGCTCGATGCTCTCGCACATTGTCCCTCCATACGATTGAAATTGAGGTCGAAGTCACCCTTGAAAAGGATGTACATTCACAGTAACATTGATCAGAAGGTGTTCCACGATTACGTTCAGCATGCCACGGCAACTTTATGCCTACCCCACATCATGTCGCATGCACTACCAAAACAATCATGTTAAACGATGGTCCTGGGTATTACACGTTCCTATTTTCCCCATATGCAGGTAAGTCCAGAATCACTACCTCACATTCAATTTGCTCTTGATTGGGAAGAGTACGCGGTTCTCCAAAATGGTGATCCATTCCCAATGAAACACTTAGTAAATGGGTCCACCACTGCGCGAGTTTCAAGGAAACATCAGGTACTGTTGGTCGGGTAGAGAGACATCCCTATGCGGTCACTGTGCCACTGTTCAGGCTGGGATTACGTGCCTTACAATCCTGATAAATGTTTTTGCAACTGCAGCATGTGACTGACGTGGGTCCATTCTTGCCTGTAGCAAAACCTAGCAATCACCTGCTGTTGCGGTTGTTCGTGATCCACCAACCTCCTCTTCTTGGGACAGCAGTGGCTGCGGTCCATATTGCTTCTCATGCACAAAAAACAATGCTGTGGTTGACACAAACTCCTGGACCACAACTTTCCTTCTTTTCAGTTTCCCAATGATTCTTCCTCGCGTAAAGTCACCCTAGTGTTGTCTCTGAGACTTGATGTAATCAAGAACACCACTACATTCCACAGTAACTTCTCCCTGCTCAGTACACCCTCTTGTCCTGCCCCACCAAACCCCTCGTTCTGCGTGGCCACTCCCATTTAGGCTCCAGATTGAAGCCGGCCGCAAGATATATGAGGCCCACTTTGGTCCCCAACTGTAGACTTCTAGCATTATGCTTGCACAGTTTCATCCAATTCCATTGAATTATTCAATAAGTTATGTCATTTATCCATGTTGTCCCTAAGTTTTGCACACTAGTGTATTTAGAGCGCCATCACCATGATTCTTCAGTAACCTACAATGGAACACGTGCGCAGAGCCTTGGGATGTCCACCAAATTGTACCCGATTCCTGCAACCACGTGTTCTCGGAACATACTCTAACAACTCTCAGGATTTCTGAAGGCAAAGACAGTGAAGAAAGTGTATATTGAAAGTAAAAAAAGCTGTATAAAACGTAAAAGTTAGTGTTTAAGCAGTTATATGAGGTATTCTTCTACCTCTACACTAGCCAGCACATTGTTGGAGTTTTGAGGATGGGGACGGAGCTGCAAGTGTTTCACCCAGTGGCAGATTCACTATCGCCAACGTCGACATTCGGAAGGAGGGGGAGAAATAGGAAGGGAGAGTGGTAATGCTCATGGGAAGGGGGCATTACTGGCCGAAATTACCCTCAACGCGTGGTCACCCTGGCCAGGTAGAGAGAGAGCGAGAAGAGAAAGAGAGCAACCCACAAAACAAACACAATGCGAGGTGCAGGAGACGGGAATCAGGGGCGCATAACTGAAATTCTTTGAGCTTACCTTAATACATTCCATACCTTCTCCTCCTCCACATTGTGCATTGGTTGTACAAGCGGAATTGAGTTGTCCACGTGGAATGCACTTCAAGAATATGTTTAGGGAATACAAGAACCTTACGGCTATGAGATGAAAAAGAAATTTTCACCTGATTGTTGGCGTAAAGAGCGTTAGGAGCTAGCGCATTGCACGGTCGACGACAGCACACAGCTTGCGATACAAGGCCGTCTGGAAAGTGGCGACATTTTCACTAGTTTTAACACGTTGACGACATCGCATGTTTTGGCATTTTGCACCTCGTGGGACAGGAGCGATTTTGCGACCGCGCCGTCCTCACCTTACTTACGCTTATTTTTTGTTAAAAATGCACAATAACTTGAATTTCATAGGACTATTTCGGCAAGGACGATCGCACAAAGGTTAAGTATATAAGTAGCAAAAGGTTTTCGTTTAGAAGAGCGCATAATAACCACGAAGAAGTAAAAAAACATCACTTTCGCTGCGAATGAAATTAAAAGCATTTATATCTAAGTACTCCCATCAAATCAAATATATTGAAACTCACAGAGTTTTGTTTCAACTAACTCTAAAATCTTTCATAAGAATATTGACGGCAGTGAAAGTATTATTAAGAAAGAATCGGAACGAAAGTTTTGTGCGCGTCGGAAAATCTTTGCTTAATCAAAAGATACTTGACCACTCTAGCTGCCAAGCGGTTTATAGTCATGCTAATGTATTATCTATAGAATGAATACAAGAAACCCGAGAGGAAGGAGCGCAAGCACGATAAAAGTGAGTAGCATAGACTTGACGCGCTTGCGCGTCAGAATGTCCGATGCGGTGCGAAATTCTTGACGCGCATGCGCGTCAGCTTGTCGTTAATACAACGCTTTCTGATGGACCAACTTTTCAGGATGAAGAAGACTTTTGATAAGAAATAACGCCTGGGAAGTCTGGTCGCACTTCTGTCATGCTACCTCCACACTTCTGTTACGCTGAATCTGTGGAAGTTTCATGACCATATACAACATTCAGAATCCGGAATTTGAACTGTGGTATAAGTTGCTCGGTGTAAGTAGCTCCCTTTTGAGATGCCCCGTGGATTCCACTTTCATTCGAAAACTGAGGGTTTCGTAAGGCGCATGTTGAGAGGATGAACCAAATTTCGAGTAAGCTTCTGATTCCACTATACGGGGCTGCTATAATCGAACTGACTGAAAGAAGAGAGGGCTTGCGTGGCCTGGGCGGAAGGTGATCTCGGGCAGTGCGTGCGGCAGCAGCGCTAATTGTCACTAACACCTTCGCGCACTTGTTCCGATGGGCTAAGTTTATATTAAAGCTCCTGATCAACGTGTTGCCTCAGAAGGTACTTCGAAATTTTGCGATTATGCTTATGAGCCATCCCAAACAAGAAGCAGCTGTGGTGCACGAGACACAAAAAAACAATTCGAAACTCTTGTCTTGATTGGGCATTGTGTGTACCTGATAGCAAGTGGCAGAAGTGGGTATCGCTTGGACATCTGAGAGGTTGCGTCGAATTCGGATCACACGAGAACTGTGTGTCAACATGGCTGGCTAATGGGCAGACTACAGGGCAACAGTGCCCGACTGGTGAATCAG